ATCAGAATAAAATGTTTTGTCATTAAAATGCATACCAAATCTAAACACATTTTTTAAACGCTTTTAAAGTGTAAAAAAGAAAAATAAATGTTGTTTTGAAATATGCTTGAAAAACATTAAAGTCAAAAACTTGTTAATATTTCTGCAAATAGTATAAAACCTTAAAATCTATCAAATAAAATATATATTGTCCCAAAAACATCAGAAAAATGTTAAATGATCAGAGAAATACACGTTGCCTTTAATTTGGTCATAAATTGTGCAAAATGTAAAAACAGTTTTAAAGATTAGTAGAATAAATAAATAAATCCGTTGAAAATCGTAAATCAAATCAGAAGGAAATTATTTTTTAAAAGTAATAAAATGTAAAAAACAAAAATGGATATTTTCTGCAGTTTCAAAAGTTTTCATGCTCAACTTCTAATTTGGTCATTTTAATAAAGTTTTCACGTATTTAAAAATAGTGAGAAAAAAAATCTGCCTAAAAGGAGAAGATTTTTTCTTTTTTTTAATGTTTTCCTGAAATCTTTAATGAAGCGACCTGCTCAGATGTCATTTTAAAATCTGAATCTGTGTCTCTGATCATCTGTCCTCACTTCTGTGAAACACAAACGTTTGATTCTTGATCGTTTTCTGTTTCTGCAGACGTCAGAATCTGTTTGTGGTAAATAACAGAGTTTTATATCTAAGAAGCTCCTTTTTCCACGTTCCCCTCCTGTTCTGTTCAATCGGACCGTTTCATGCGTCTGCAGCAACACTGAGGTTCTGCAGCAGCTCTGGTTGAGGATCGATGAGCAGCAGGAATTGATTTTATTCTGAACCTGCTTCTGCTCCAAAGCTCTGAAATGAACAGAAGTGTTAAAGGAGGTGAAGGAAAGGAGCAGCTTCATGAAGAGGTCAGAAGGTTAAAGCTTCTGGTTTCTGCTGATGACGAGATTCCTTTAATGAACGTTTGTGGAGGTTGTATTCACATGTAAAATATAAATTATAGATATTTTATTAGGACATTTTCTGACATCAGCTTCATGGAGAACTTCTTCGGATGTTTTATGAATATTCTAAACATTTTATATACTTTAAATATATATATACATCTTTTATAAATCTTTTATTTTTATGTTTTAATACACAAAACGTATTTTTTATAACAATCCCCAAAGTGTTTAAAAGTTCACAACATTGGAAACGAATTCACAAATCTTCCAAAAAAAACTGATTAAAAAGCTTCAGAATCTGTAGTTAAAATGAAAAACACATTTATTTTTCTATTCATTTATTGTTTGACGTTTGTAACGTCTCTGTGGTGATTTTACTCTGAAACAGCAACTCGTCTGCTGATCATCGGTTTGGTTTGTATCTGCTCTGCAGTTCAGGAGAACAAAAACCTGTTTGTGGTTTCAGTGGAAACGTTTACTTTGACTGGAGGCGGTTTGAGTCCAAACTGAAGCCGAGTCACAGCAAAACACACGAGTGTGAAACGAGTGTGAACATGTCGACTGAAAGCCGAGACCCTCAGACGGCGACACGTGAAACACGAAGACAGAAAACATCCGCTGGCTTCATCACTTCATCTGAGAGAAGCTCAGCGGAAACACGAGAAACAAGAAGCTTTAAAAAACACAGACTGACCAGAAACAGACCTTTATCAAAGGTCTACTTTATGTCTGACCGCATCACAGACGTATTCATCCACCGGTTTGTTTCTGTGTGAAGCCTGTGGGACAGCTGCAGGTTGGTTCAGTCTGACGGTTTGCTGTCCACAGCCGGTCAGAATCCGTCCAATGTGACAGAAATGTGATCAAATGAGTCCAAACCTGCTCAGAGAGGAGCTCAGGATGGTCCGTTATGACAAAGTCTGTCCAAAACAACTCAAACGTATGTAAAAGCTGTTCAACATGACTGGAAATGTGTCCCAAACAAGTTGAGAATGATCAAAAAATCTGAAAAAGATCTTTGAAAATGGCCTGAAGCCACTCGACACAGCTCAGAAGTGACAGATTTCTGACTTGGAACCAGTTGAAATGTCATAAAAGTTTGTCCAAGATCATTTAAACATGTACTTAAATGGTTCAGACTGTCCTACATTCACTACAACCGTTCAAAAGGACTCTGTCTCTGTCCAGCATCACTACAACGTCCAAACTGACAGAAACTTGTCCAAAAACATTTTAAGAATTTACAATTTTAATGGAAACATTTGGTTTTTAATGGATATGATTCCACCTGAGAGCCTGAAGCCGACAGCTGCTCGATTCCGTGTTTTCTGCTTCCTGATAAATAACAGAATCAATCCATCGGCTCACAATCGGCCCAAACAGAAGCTAAACCAGCTTCTGCTCCTTTTCCTCGCTGACAGTGAGGAAACCAAGCGCTCCCCAGCTGACAGCTGAGCCTGCAAACAGCCACATGTTGTTCCTGCTGCACAGCTGCACTCCCCCTCACAGGCCCGCCACGCCGCTCAAACCAAGCGCTCCTTCCCTCCCGGGGCGACTGTGTGCACACAGTTGTTCCAGATGCAGAGGTTAACAGAGGACAAAAACAAAGGCCTGTCTCCTCCCGCTCAGGCCCGCTCCGGGTTTTAAATGAAGCACACCACTGTGAGCTTCATCAGATCCAACTGAGAACTTTGTCAAAGTGGCAAAAGCTGAACTGGAACAACTGAAGATCTGTCCGCAAGTGGTTGAAAACGACACAAAGATGTCCATAATGTCTCTGAACTTATCAAAAATCACCCAGAACTTAAATTAAATTAATGCAAATTGAATTTAAAAAAGTCTAAAATGTCTCAGATATATCAGAAATGACAACCATGACCTGTCTCCACCCACACAGGCCTGCTATAGAACCACAAAGTCTTTACTGTCGGTATACAAGTACGTTTAAAGAGCTGCACCAGCAACACATGCCATTAGACATACAGGACGTACATTACAACCCATAACACACGATTTAAAGACACCTCCCAGGGCAGGGTGGCTGCTGGGTATTGCACAGGGTGAGCTGCTTGTTACTGTGAAGCAGATCTTATTTACATAGAACTGACACACAGCAGGTTTACGTTGAGCCATGTGACATAAATGAAGCGAACCTTAGTGATTTCACCTCCTGCATGGCAAGAAACACAACAAACCAAGTGCTCCTCCTCGTCTCCTCAGAAGCAGCTGCTACTTCCTTCACACCACCCGTCTCTTCTGGAACATCGTGGATCACAAATCAAGCGCTCCTTTGGGCCTTAACACGTTTCCTTCAACAAACTGAATCTGGAAGTAAAACAAGCGCTCCTTTGATCGATCGGCATCTCAGGTCAAGTCGAGACACAAAGAGTAGCTGTAACCGAAATCAAACAAACCCCGCCTCTCCTCCCCTCATCCCCACATGGAAACCAAACGCTCCCGTCCAGCACCCCTTCAACTTCTCCGTCTTGTGGAACGTCACAAACCAAACACACCTCAAAGCTTCACACACATCTTGTGTTTGTTCTTCTTTCTTTTAGGAACTAAAACGTAGCTGCACCGAACTCAAACAATCCCGCCTCTGTTCCACCTTCCCTTAGACCCCGTCCCTTTCAGCTGGCATGTGATGGATCACAAATCAAATGCTCCTTTGACCTTTTCTGCAACATATCTCTTGAAAACACAA